TAGGAGTTTGCCAAGACAGTGAATAACAGTAGAGCAAACTATACTAAAGCTAGTTCTGAGATCTGGGCAGCCAGATCCATGATGCAGAAGGTCTTTGAAGTACATGACAAAAATGGACAGAAAAAGAGAATAGCAGACATACTATATTGCAAAGATCATCGTGGATTTTAACATTTTCTTTTGTTAATTTATGCAATAGCCACCATATATGTAAGACACTGAAGCCTATATGGAAATACAGAAATAGGATATCTCACACCATGAGTCAGCACTTACTCTTAAGCTGTATATCAATCTAATAAACTTGGTTATTTAGTTTCAAAACCCCACCATGCTAAAAACATTATATTCTAAATGCTATTAATAGATTCAGGCACACTAATGGCAGAAGGGAGATCTAATAGCCTGACAGTAAGGCAGGAGAGAAAAATAATGCAAAACAGACATTGCTGCAATAGTCTGGACCAATCGATGTTACTACCAATCAACAGCCCCTAATGGTGATGACTGTCAGTCAATGAGACACTAATTATGTAGGGAATATTCTCTTCAAAATGTAGGAAAATCTGAAATATAATTTAGCTGTTCTTAATGCAAATCTTCCATAAGAAAAAGTGTTTTCTTGCTTATAAGGGTAATTTTAGTTATCTGGAAGATTGATTTACATGTCACACCTCACACTCCACTGACACTGTATAAATTCAGCATTACTGTCCAATTTACTATACATCTAAAGTATTTTGTAGAATGTATGTTATATAAAAATACCAGGGCTAGGTTTATATAAACTGAAAATGATTACAGCTATGAGTGAACACATAATATCTTTCAGAAAAATACGAGTAGACACAGTTTGGGGTTGTCAAATATTGTTACACGTCAAATAAAATTAGAATAAAATACGCAAATGCTTTCCTCTTTACAATAATGTTAACATATACTTTTAAGAGAGCTTACCACTAGTTTATTCTTAGTCATGATGAGGTATCACTTACGGGAAAAGCATCTATATGAATAACAACTCAGTATTATGCTGACATACAGGTTTGGGGATTTCAGGACATCAAGAGAAATGTGACATTATCTCCCAGGGCTTAACCAATTCCTTGTAAAGACAAAAAATATGATAAGGCAAACTATAATTTTAAGCAATTTATTTAGGATATAAATTGCAGTATAAATGTTGCTGCTCATGTCTAAAATCCTTGTAAGTGCTGAGGATTGTTTCAAGGCTACAGAGAGACTATTAGCACTGGAGGAAGTTGGAATTTCCAGGTATTACAGGATCTGCTGCATAAACCAAGTTTTAAGTTTCTTTTTTCCTTTTGGATTTTGGTTTTTACTCACAATTTATATAAGAATACACTTGGAAATAAAATCTGGGAAGGTCCTTTCTCTATGTGAGTTTTCTCAAAAAAAAAAAAAAAAAA